GTTACATTTACACTTTCTCATATCTTCCAGACAAAAAGTTAATGGCGCATCTCCAAAATGTCCCGGCCGCAACAACGCTTTTATTGGTTCCGCTATCGGGACGGAACCAATAATGGTGAACCATTATTTCTTTTTCAATAAAAAAAGAAATAAATAAAAAATGTCAATTTTAACGTTTTATTTAGATTACAAAAATAAATCGAAATAAAAATAATCCTATTTATGTTTTAAAAAATAAGGCCTACGAAAGACTGATTTAAGACATTTTAATACCAATTAAGGCCTTAATTTTATTTTGAAGAATTCAATGCCTTTTAAGACTTTTTAAGGATCAGAAGGAACCCTGGTAATGTAGGCTCGCGTTCATTATCTGACGCATGCATATACACACCAGGAACCTGTAAACTTAAAAAATACTGAATTACAAAAACATTTAAAAAACAAACATGTTTCATTGATATATATACAAAAATTAATATTAGGAACTATATTTATCAAACATACAGGGCAAGTATGTTTCTGGTTAAATGAAATGTGAAAGTCACTTGCCCGAAGGGTAAAAATCCTTAACGTCAACCCCTGCCGTTGATTCTTTGCCAAATCCAGATGGTCAACATACCTGTTTTTTGGGCCAGTTTTTCTTCCTCCTCCTTTGCTTTCAGAAAGCTGCTCCCACTGGCTTTAATGGTTTCATTAGCATAATTAAAGAAGCCCGATGTTCTTCCAAAGTGCTCACCAGGTCTTCTATGTCAGGGTTTCTTAACCATGGTCCTCAGGGCTCACCGTTCTTCATGTTTTAGAAGTCTCTACTCAATTCATATAGTTGCACGATCTCCTCTTCAGCCATCAAATGCTGCAAAAGCCTTTTAATCAATTTTTAATTCAAGTCAGGTGTGTGGAGGGATGGAAACACATAAAACATGCAGGATGGCAGCCTTAAGAAACCGTGATCCAATCATGGTCAAAACAAAAATATGAGGAGCAGGTCAGACAGGCAGATTATTGCAAATACTGAGGTTTTATCTGAATATCTTTTAGAGCTGATATAGTGATTGTATTTCATAATACATAAATTACCCTGTTCAGCAAAAAATGCCCCAGAAAGCCGCCTGTCAGCAAAGCTGTGATAATAATGAAGTTTCTGAATCCAGTCTGAAAGCATAAAACTTTCTAAGGGTTCGATCTGTCCACCGAAAGGATGACGCCCTGGGGACAGAGCCATACCGCCCTCATCGAAATCCACTAGTGTTAGTAATAATAGACCGAGAAATCATTTCAAAACAATTTGATAAAGGAAGAAAAGAAAACATCCAAGAGGAGTAAGAGTGAACTTGCTTTTATTTGGAGAAAAAAAAAAATCTTTGAAATCACTCCTTTTTCAAATTCAATGAATTCATCAAGAACAACATCTAAGTTCTAGGAAAGAGTTAAAATCATGCCATTAGTCCTTTTATACATAAAGATGTAGCTGTAAGATGACAGTTTTTTTTCATTTTTTGTTTATAAAATGACTTTTTCTGACACTTCACTTCCGTTCAAGAAATATTCATGTAGAAAAAAAACAAAAACAAGCGTCACCCCTTTTAACAAAGCAAAATACAGAAATAAAAAGCGTATTACACTACGTTTACACTGCGCTGACATGGCTTCAAAGCACACATATTACACTACTGTACATGGGCCCCCCCCCACCCACAGACACAATGCAAAAAAAGCACATCCACTGCTGAGGATAGATCAAACCTGTGAAACAGCTTAACACTGCTTATTGACTGAACCCTGACCACAGTGTGGTGTTGGCAACTGGCAAATGAGGTAAATGTTTCTAAAAAAAGCACCAAAAGTTTGGCTTAAAATGTGCTTCAAATGTATATTTATATTTTTATATATATATGTACACATATATAGCTTATACAGAACGGCAAATTGAAAGACTTTTAGTCCAGCTTTCTCCAAACATTTTTTTTCCCTCTCTTTCTCTCAAACACAGGAATGGAGAAACAAAGCACTGGAGCTGCAGTTTTGGTTTACAGTGTTCAGAAGCCACTGAATTCACACTGCCTGGTTCTGCGAGGAGTAAGAAAGCAGCATTCTTCCGTGTCTGAGTGGGACATTAAATATCAAAAGATTAGAGTGAAACCCAAGCAGGAAATAAAACTTAAAAAAAAAAAAAAATATCCGGATTTGTCTCAGACGGATTCACTTTCACATAAAAAAAAAAAAAATCTGAATTAAAGGGAATTTCTTTTTTAAAAACACACTATTTCATTGCTTTGCAAAAGTTCCCGAGCATAAAATCTGCGATTTGTCGAGGATAACCCCAGAAATGTGTTAGAGGGCTCTTTACAAGGCTTGACCCTCCACATCGTAAAAGGGTTTTTGAAAAAGTCTAGAAACATTGAGGGAAGGTGAGCGAAAAAC